CTGAGCCCCACTCCTTCTCTCCCTCTTTATTCACCCGGCTCTCTCCTGTCACACCTTTGGCTTTGTTCTGTTTTCCCTGCTGTCACTCTCTTCTCTCCCTCAGTCACCAAATGCCCTCGGGATGGCCGCCCGGGTGTCGAGGAGGGAGACTGTCCTCCGTGGGCCTGGCTGGGGTCTGAAGAGCCACCGCCCACCCCTCCCGGCGCCTCCTGGCCTCGCGCTGCAGCCTAGTCTCGCCTTACTTTCCACTTTTCTCATTTCCTCCGTGTTCCCCGTCCCTTCTTGCCACCACGTGCCTCCCCGCTGGCCTCCCTCCATCCTCTCCTCAGCCTGGACCTCCCCCTCCCTCCGCCCCTCCCCTTGGCCTCCAAGAGTGTGTGTGTGTGTGTGTGTGACACTGGCGGGACACCTCTCTCTCCCTTTCCCTCCTCTCTCCCCCCTCCCTCCATCCTTTTCTCTCTCCTTTCCTCCTCTCCCACTCTCTCTGCCTCTCTCTCCGTGCTGTCTCTCACACCCGTTCTCTCTCTTACACACATATATACACACACTCATTCTCTTCTCATCTTTTTACCGCATCCCCTCCATCCTTTTCTCTCTTCCTCGGTCTCTCCTCCCCTCCCTCTCAGGTCTCCCTGAATCTCTCCCTCTTTCCCCCCCACCCCGGCTCTCTGGGAACCTCCCCAGGGCTCACACCCCTTCTCTCTCCGCTTGCTTGTCTCCCGGCTCGTCCCCTCCCTCTCGGGTCTCTCTCCGGAGCGGTTCTCTCCCCCCTTCGCCCCATCTCTTCTCTCCTCCAGCCTCCCTCTTTTCTTTCTCCCGCTCCTGTGTCTCTGCCCTTGGCTTTCTCTCCTCTCCTGTCTCCCTTCTACTTTCTCTATCTTGCTTCTCCTCTGCCTCTTTCCTTTTTTCCACTTGCTCCCTTCATCCTCCCCGCTCCAGTTCGCCCCTTTTCTCTCTTTCAAAACCACTTGCCTCTTCCTCTCCTGCTTCCCCCCCTCTGGTCTCAATGCCCCCTCCCCCCTCTCCT